CGAAAATTCCAGTCTTTCGCCTCATGAAGCTCCCCAGAGGCCTCCAGAAGGCGCCAGGGCGGCCCTGGCAGGCTCCAGAGGCCCCGAGAAACGTCGATTATTGAATCGCTTCGCTCATTCCGCCGGCCCGTGATATGGCATCGCTGGTTTTTGTCTGTGTGTTCGTTGCCCATGTTGCGCTCTTGGGGGCGGGTGTCGTTCGGACGCGTTGCGTGGGGAGTTTTGATGGTGAAGCAGTTCCCTGGGGGTCGTCTCTCGATGGGGCGAAATAGAGTCGTCGTCAAGATGCTTCTTTGGGGGGCCTCTTGGGGTCTGTTGAGAGGCCGTTCGGGGGCGCCTGGGAGACATGTTTGAAGCCTTCTGGGGCTTCTTTTGGGCCTCCTGGGAGTCTCCTGGGGCCTCTTGGCGACATCTTGGGGCCTCTTGGAGGCCTCTTGGGGCCTCTTTGGGACCTCCTGGGCGCCTTCTGGGACGGAGGGCTCCATTTTTGAGTTCTCGGTATCCCTCCTGAGTCCCTCTTGGGCCCGTCTTGGGGCCTCTTGGTCCGTCTTGGGCGGCACTTGGGCCGTCTTGAGGGCTCTCTTGGGTCGTTTCGGCGCCGTCTTGGGAGCTTCGTGGGCCGTCTTGGAGCGGTCTTGGGGGCCTCTTGGGCCGTCTTGGAGCGTCCGGAAGCCGAAAAAGCCAGAACACAAAAAACATCGAAAAAACCAATGAAAATCAACGATTTTGGCCTCTTGGGGCTCTCTTCGGAGGCCTCTTGGAAGGCTCTTGGGGCGTCTTGGAGGCCTCTTGGGCTGTCTTGGGGGCCTTTTGGGCCGTCTTGGGGTCATCTTCGGCGTCTTCGAGCGCTCTTTGGGCGTCTCGGGGGCCTCTTGGGCAGTCTTGGGGGCCTCTTGGGGCACTCTGAGCGCGCTCTGGGGAGCCTGAGAGGCCGCACCCAGAAGGAAAACCATCTCTGAGTAGACTTGGTCGGGCGGCGACCGGGCGTTGGTCGGGGTACTTTTCGCCGGGGGACCCCCAGGGGCCGCCCCGCGCGCGCGAACTAGAAATACTGTTAATACTGTTAACCAGTTACCGGAGATCTTAGCACGCCCTGGCCCGTTGGGCCGGCGAATTCTATCTTCCCTCTCCCCCTTCGGGGTCATGGTGCTCTCCCCCCACTTTCTCTTCCTCCCCCCGTCGTTCTGTAACCCTTAGCCTGTTGCATCTTCTCTGCGCGAGCCAGCGGCCCTCGGGAGCGGTGCTCCAGGAGTCGCCGGGCTCTGATTTGAGCAAGCGCTCCAGGGCCGACAAGCCTTGGGGGGGGGTTGTCAGTCGGCAGTGCAGCTATCACAGGTGTCAGGCGTCAGGGGGTTGATGATGATGAGGAGGAGGAGGAGGAAGACCACTGTGAGCCCAAGACGTATCACCGATACTCCATCAAACCCTCACTCCAAGCTCCCTTCTTCGCAGGCCTCTGCAAGGATTCGCTTTCATCGAGGGGAATGCCCGGTTGGGAGACAACCGCTGAGAATCCTGAATTCTGCCAGAATGCGTTTCCTGCGATTTCAACGCCGCGAATCACCGTAAGTTTATGCTGCGTTTTGATTGTCGTGAATCGTGCCAAGAAACCATTTCTAGGATTCTAGGATTCAACACTTCGAATCAACGAATTGTTGCGCCTAGACAGTCCGACATCGTGCCAAAACACAGTTTTGGGGATATGAACCATTAGAACTTGCTGCAAACTCTTAAAACGAATGTGCGCGGCGCGAAGGCGAGAACCATATTTAAATGAACCGTTCTCCATCCATGGAGCTGTTGCGAACTTTCAAGACGACTGTGCGCGGCGCTAAGGCGAGTGCCACATTCTGAAAAAGACCCGCCCTCAATCCGTGAAGCTGCTGCGAACTCTTGAGACGAATGCGCGGTGCTAAGGCGAGAACCACATTTTGGAAACGACCCACCATCCATCCGTGAAGCGGCTGCAAACTTTTCAGGCAAATGTGCGCGGCGCTAAGGCGATATTCACATTCTGAAACCGACCCGCCGTCCAGCCGAGAAAATGCTGCAGATTTCAATTCCCGGGATCACACATGGTGTGAAAGTCTCAGGCGACATGCCCGACCCGCCCTTTCGACCGGCCTCGGGGGTGCGACTGGGGGAAGTTACAAACAAGGAATACTAGCAGGTGGAAAGTTACAAACACGTTACAACAAGACTGGGGGAAGTGTGAGGAGGAGGAGGAGGAGGAGGAGGAGGAGGAGGAGGAGGAGGAGGCCCGAGGAGGACGAGGAAGAACTCCTCCTCAGGCCGGCTTGCCGCCCCTCCCCTGCCGATCCCGCCAGGCGAGGCGAGGGGCCGCGGGGGCGGCGAGTGCGCCGCGGGGGCTCTCGGGCCTGGCAGGCCGCCGGCGCGGCCGCCGCCGCCGACGTCGGCGTCGTCGGCGTCGTCGGCCGTCGGCGGCTGGCGAGGCCTCCCCAGGCTGGGAACGGGAGGGGGAGGGGGAGGAGGGGGAGGAGGAGGAGGAGGAGGAGGGGGAGGAGGGGGAGGAGGAGGAAGGAAGGAGGAGGAGGAGGAGGAGGAGGGGAGGAGGAGGAGGAGGAGGAGGAGGAGGAGGAGGAGAGGAGGAGGGTCTGTCAACGGAGGAGAAGGTGCCCATACCGCTGCGCCATGGTCGCCACGACCGGAGTCTCGCCGAGCTTCGCGTCGCCTCTCACCGTGGGCCGTCCCCCCAGGTGTCGTCCTGGCCTCTTCTGTCCGTCGCCCTTCCTCCTCCTCCTCCTCCTCCTCTCCTCCCTCCTCCTCCTCCTCCTCCTCCTCCTCCTCCCCTCCTCCTCCTCCTCCTCTCCTCCTCCTCCTCCACCTCCTCCTCCTCCTCCTCCTCCTCCTCCTCCTCCTCCTCCCGCCTCCTTCCGCCTCCTCCTCGCTCCGCTCCCTCCTGCGGTCTCTCTGCCTTCCCCGTCGTGCTTTCGCACCCTCCGGGCCGTGGCAGGCTGCCCCTCTCTCCAGGGGGTGCCGTGCTGCCACCCATGCCGGCTGGGCCTCGTCTCGCCCCCGTTGTTGTTTGCGGCGAGGGCAAGAAACACACAGACATGGGTTTCCCAGCTGGCACCCCTTTCAGCTGGACCCCCTTTTGGGTCAGCTGGACCCCCTTTTGGGTCAGCTGGACCCCCTTTTGGGTCACCCATACATTCGTGCATGTGTATATGTAGAGATGCAAATATGCGTACGAACGCAAACAAGTGTGTAATCTGTAGAGCATGCATACACCACCACCATGCCTGGCAATAGCCACTTTGGATCTTGAGCCTTGGGATGTCTACAGACCTTCCTGGCTCTGGCTAAGGGGGGCGTATGTGCCATGCAACGGCCCAGAGTGGCCTTGGCCAGTGGTAGTGGTGGTGTAGAAATACCTTATGCGGGTATCAGCATCTTCTCGGTACGCTTATCACCCCTTTGGGACCTGTTGGGGGGCCCCCAGGGCCACGACTTGACGCAGCTGGACACACTGATATGGATGGGTTATCGTGGCCGCTTTCAGCAGATATGCTCGTTCTCGTCCTGGGATTCCTGGGCGTCGTGAGCAACTCAATCATGACGGGCGTTTTTCCAGACAATGTTGGCGTCCAGGGGATGCCATCCGTCCCCAGCACCCGCAAACCAGACGACGCGCGGCTAAAAGGTGGTCCTGCTGGCGGGATCGAAGACTCCAGGTCTTGCGCAGTGACAAGCTCACGTCGTCGGAGATCAGGCTTCCTTCCCCTCCGCCTAAAGGCCGACTCTATCGGACCCACTGCCACTAGGAAGCTTGGGAGCTCGATTCCCTGCCCTCAGCAATCAAACACCTTGGTCGCTCCGTGGTCGGCGCCGCTCGTAGTCCCCCGTGGTGGGCCACACATTGGATGTGGCACCGAGTGTTTTGCCCTCCTTCCTCTTCCTGATCGTTTTGTTTCCTCATCGTGCTGCCCTGCTTCGCATAGTACGCTGTTGTTGCAGTGCCGACCCCAGTTCAGGACCACCTCTTCTCGTCCAGTATTGGGTTAATGGGCTGCGGCTGAGTAGGGCACCGGGGTGCATAAACCCACGATTGGACGACCTGGGCAGAGGGCGGACGGATGCTTTGCCGTATGTTGTGCGTTTTCCTTCTTCGCTCTCCTTCCACTCCTCCTGTTCCTAATCTTCCGCATCTTCTCTTCTCATGCCGTGTGTCATTTCACGCGTTTAGGTGTAGTGCGATTTGATCACAGTTCTTGCTGATGCGCGAGACGTGTCTCTGGAGCTGCGCTTCGTGCGAAAACCAGCTACGTCTGGGGAGAGCGCTCGTAAGCATCTGGAGGGATCCCATGGTGTAGAACTTGTGGAAATTGCAGCCGCACAAGTCCACCTCGGGAGCCTTGGCGTGCACTTCTTTCTCCTCTTCCTCCTCCTTCTTCACATCACCGTCTTTGTCCAGCTCAGTCCTCCCCTGTCGTGCTCACGTGTGTAGGTACCCTGGCATCACCCATACCAGCTGCGAAATCGGACTCCAAGCCACGTCCTCCCCGTCGTCCACTATTATCTTCGTCTTCACCCTTCTTCTCATCGTCCGCATCCTTCTCTTCGTTGTTTTCCGCCCATCCAGGCATCGTTGGTCGTCCTCATTCTCCTGCTGTTTCTACTCGGCGTCCTGCTGCTGCTCCTCATCCCGCTGATAGTCTCCTGATTATCCTCCCCTTCTTTCTGAGGGATTTCCCCAGCGAGGCCGGGACGCCCTTGCCTTGGGGCTCGCGACCCGCTTCTTTGCCCAGCGTGTAGGGGGGAAGGGCAGCGAGGGACGGTAGCGTACAGATTTGCGAAGATTTGGCCCTGGAAGTGGGGCAGACATCAGATGGCCTCATGGTCCCCGGGCTGAGGGTCAGAAATGAGGTGAACAAAATGTTGCGTTCCATGTGCTTCGATACTTGCACTGATATCGTGATGAGCCCAACCCCTGCTCATCCCTCCTGGGGTCGTGGAAATCCAACGCCTGCCACGCCCCGCGAGCGTGACACAGGTAGGGGAACCGCCCCCCGCGCACCACCTTTGCCCTCGCGGAACTGCAACGCCTGCCACGCTGTGCGAGCGTTGCACCGATAGGGTAACCACTCCCGCGCACTCCTCTCTGGTGTCGGGGAACTGCCACGCCTTCCACGCCCTGCGATCGTGACGCGGACCTGGGAACCGCCCCCTGCGGACCCCCCCCGCGCCCGAGGGAACCGCCCCCCCCTCCTCCGCTGGTGGCGAGGCTTCTCCTCCGGAGCTCCCACGAGGCTCCCGAGAGGGTGCGCGCACCCGCTCCCGCGAGGATCCTTCCGAGGCCGAGCCCTTTGCGGGGTCCGTAGCCGTTCAGGCTCAAGCCAAGTCGGGCACAGTACTCTCACACTCACCCAGAACTACTACGTAACCTCACTCTGCCATCACCCGTAGCCAAGCTCTTCCATCGGCGCCATGGTGGCCCCGCTGCTGCTGGCGCTGTGCGCCCCCATGGCCGGGGGCATCGCCCTCCATTCGGACGCTGGGCACGCGGGCGGCAAGGCTGACGGGTTCAGCTCGGCCCTGTCGCATCAGACCCTGGACTTCTTCCGCCATCTCGAGAACGCATCTTCGAGGCGGCCCGCGATCATGCCGCCAGGAGACGTCCGTCTGGCATGGCAGTCGAGGCACACGCACGGGCACGCGAATGGTGTTGCCAGTCTCCTGGACTTCGCGGACAGCGACGTGTTCCAGCCTTCCGACGAGTTCCAGAGGGCGGGCGAGGAGCAGGGCGAGGGCTCCGAGCTGCCCTGGGGCATCGGCATGCGGGGCGACTCGAAGCCTCTCTACGAGTACTCGGCTATGCCCACGCTCGACGTCCCCCACTACGTCGAGTACAGCCTGGAGTCTGGGAATAATATCCAGACCTTTAGCAGCGCTTGGCAGGACGTCAAGCTCATAACGCAGGTGCTCGAGAACGTCACCAACGGCTTCTACTTGGACACCCACGGCGGGGATGGCGAGACGAACAGCTACACGCTTCTGCTCGAGCTCACCGGCTGGCGCGGCCTCATAATTGAGCCCCTAATCTACAATTTCGCAAATTTGTGGGGCAAGTTGCGGAAAGCGTGGATATTCCTCGGGTGTGTGTCTCCGACCTGGAACGCCACGCAGATCGGTTTCGACACCGAGGGCGTAATCGACATGGAGAGTGGTCACTTCGTCCCGGCCTACAACATTCCTACCTTCATGGAGGAGTTGGGCGGCCGTAAGACTATCGACTTCTGGGCCGTACACAATGGCCACTATGAGGCAGAGGTCCTGAATGAAACCTTCCTTTATTCGGGGAAGAACATCGAGTTCGGGGTCGTCTTGGTCCGCTTCGATGGTCGTCGTACTGGTCGTGGCTATCAGTTCTTCGCTCAGCACAGGTCCAAAGACGCTACCGAAGAGCTCATCTTTGAGATCATGCACAACGCCTCCTTCAATTACATCGGTGGCCTGGACGCGTACTGGATCAACTATGTCGAGCCGCGCTCTGGTTACATGGACCATGTGTGGGTGAACCCTGCGTACTTCGAGAGGCGCGGCCTCCCAGTCCCCTCGTGGTGCAAGTCGGCGCCCCCGCCCAAGCTGGAGTACACCGATCAGAAGGCAGGGGCCGTCCCTTGGGACGCGGGCTACACCTACAAAGAGGAGGTCAACAAGGTGACGGCGTACATGGCGAACGCGAAGCGGGCGGCCGCGGCGACGGAGTCGGCGGCCCAAGCGCACCGCGTGGTGGCGACCGAGCTGCCGTCGGCGAAGCACTGAGCTCGCCCACGCGAAGGATGCTGGCGTCGCCCCCGGCGGCGTGCCAGCTTGGCCACGGCAGGCCGCCCCCTGCACCCAGGTCTGCGCTTCGGCGAGGCAGCAGGGAGTTGGCAGTGCCCGCTGTGGCCCGGCTGTGATGCAGCATCGTCCGAGGAGCTTCCCTAGAAGCTTCCGAGATCTCCGTGCGCACTAGCGCCGCAGATTGCTCCGGTTCTGCTGTCGCCTGCTTCCAGTTCTCGCCCGACTCGGGAGTCCTGAGCCAGGGCGAGGAGAGATGAGGAGTGAGACGACCACGAGGACGAGGGGGTAGACGAGGGCGAAAAGGCAGAAGAGGAGGAGGACGAGGAGGACGAGTCTTACGGGCGCTGGCCTTGTTATACAAGAGTCTGCTTCCAGGCCGTCGTATAATTCGAGGCTGCAGCGCTTTGCGATCGTACTAGACAGCGGACTTTTTCCAGCCTTTCGGTGTGGTTTCTTCGCTGTCTAGGTTCAGTCGTGTGACTAAGTACCTCAGAAGAGCAGACTCGCACCCTGGAGGAGAAGGGGGTGACGCTCGCCGAGGCAGCTTTCATGCCACTTCTATGAGGCCCCGCTGCCCCCCCCCTCGCGATCTGCTTGTCCTGATGGAAAAAATCGAGCCCCTGCGGGGACCTGGCAGGCAAATCTGCACAGCACGTGACTGCATAATGTGTGCTCGCGTGTCTGTGAGAGGGGAAGCGAGGGAAGGAGGAGAGCGGGAGGGAGGAGGGAGGAGGGAGAAGGAAGTCGAAGAAGAGAGAACTGCACAAACATGAACTTCCCTGAGCTCCGCGCGGATTTCTTGGATCGGCGCTGGGCTTCCCCGGCGGCGCCTCCCGCGCCGCCCCTGGCGCGCTCCCCGTGCCACTGGAGGGGAGCTGGGACCCCTCCCCTGGCGCACCAGCGCGGGCGGCGCGCCTCCTCCTCCTCCTCCTCCTCCTCCTCCTCCTCCTCCTCCTCCTCCTCCTCCTCCCTCCTCCTCCTCCTCCTCCTCCCTCCTCCTCCCTCCTCTCCCTCCCTCCCTCCCTCCCTCCCTCCCTCCCTCCCTCCTCCCCCTCCTCCTCCCTCCTCCCTTCCTCCCCTCCCTCCTCCCTCCTCCCTCCTCCCTCCTCCCTCCTCCTACTCTCCAGGGGCGGCGCCGGAGGTGCGGCCAGGGGGGGGTCCATTGTCGACCCAAGAAGTCCACGCGACCTTCGACGGCTTGCGCATCTGGCGCTATTGACTCCTCCAAGGACGCCGCCGCCACCGCGGCCAACCCTCTCAAGGCCAGCCGCTTGCGCGGCCCCCGCCGGGGGGGGGGTAAGGGGTAGTTGCCTGGACCCCCTCGCGTCGTGGAAAAGACACGACGGCAAGGCTTGGGCGATGATCGTCGGCTTCCGTGAGCCCTCACTGGGCCCTGGGACCGACAAGAAGCGAGCGACTCGGGAGAAGAGCCGTTCTCGGGGAAGGGTTCTGGACATTCGGGGGTCCACGCGGAAATATGATGTCGGAGATCTGGGTATTCGGGCAGGCCGCTCCACAGCGTGCTGAGACGCTCTGGAGCGGCCGCGGTGCACGACGCATCCTTCAGTTCCGCCAGTTCTCAGGGATTCCCGATTTGTCTCAGTCCGAGTTCATGTTCTACACGCTTCGCGTAACCTCACCAGCTCATCCAGAAACGATGCCCCGGCGAGTTGCCTTGATCAGGGTCGTGGAAGAGCATGCAGCGGAATAAAGGATTGGGTAGGCCGTCATACCGTAATGCCCCAAGAGGGGGAGGATGGAGGAGGTTCGGAGGAGGAGGAGGACGAGGAAGTGGGAGGAGGAGGGGAGGGGAGGAGGGAGGAAGAGGAGGAGGAGGCGGATGAGGAGGAGGAGAAGGTAACGTGGCAACGCAGGGTGGCGAACAAACACATTCCACTCCTAGTCGCCATATGGCATCGTATAGGGGCAACATTGATACACCTATACGCCATACGTTACGTGACAACGCAACGGGCTGAGAATATAGTACTCTACTCGATTAGTCGTCACGTTTCAATGCAAGGAGGGAGGGACAAGATACGATTCCACTTCGCTCGCCACGCGGCAACGCAGGGGGGGCTAGAAACAAAACATTATTGTATGTTATTCGTTCTGTAGCAACGCAGGGGGGGATGGGGGGGCGGGCGGAACAGACACATTCGACTCTAGCCGCCACATGGCAGCGTAGAAGGGCGAAGCAAATACACATACGCGATACATAACGTGGCAACGCAGAGTGGCTGAGAGCATACTCTTCTGCGTACTTGGTTCGTCACGTGGAGATTGCAGGGGGGGGTATAAGATACGATTCCACTTTGCTCGCCACGTGGCAACGCAGGGAAAGGGGGTGAACAAAAACACCAGTCTACTTTCTTCGTCTCGTGACAAAGCAGGGGGGGGGAGGCGAAAACACGTTCAAGTCTAGTCGCCATTGCAGCGTAGAGGGGGGAAACAACTACACGTATACGCTACACGTCACGTGGCAACACAAAGGGGTTGAGAATGTCTTGTGTTGCATGATTCGTCACGTGGCAACGCAGGGGGGGCGGACAAAATACAATTCCGCGTTGCTGGCCACGTGGCGACGCAGGGGGGGGGGGGCTGACAGAAAGACATGATTCGACGTTATCCCTGACGTGGCAACGCATGGTGGCGAAGAAAACAGTCCACTCTATTTGCCACATGGGAGCGTAGAGGGGCACAACACACATACACGCTACACGTCACGTGGCAACGCAAAAGCGTGTAGAAAATTCGTTTATACTTTTCATACTTTCCAAATAGCAATGAAGGGGAGCGGAACATGCCACCCCACTTCGGTGCACAATATCCGTCACGTGGCAACGCAGGGGGCGGGGGGAAGGCGGCCAAACACATACACATTCAATGTAGTCGGCAAGTCGCCACCCAAAAGGGCGAAAAGGCATTATTCCTCGTCGCGTGGCAACGCAAAGGAGTTGATACAATTCAACCCTACTCCATTCGTCACGTGGCGATGCGGGGGGGCAGAAAAAACGGTTCCACTCTGCTCTCCATGTGGCACCCCGGAGTGGCGAATCATAAAACATATTATTTCAATTTAGGGCCGAAAACATGCGATTCCATTTTGCTCACCGCGTCTGAACGCAGAGGGGCGAGAACCATACAAATCCGTAGTATTCATCACGTGGCAGCGCAAGGGGGACGAGAGCAGATTGTTCTACTTTAGTTCCTCACGCGGCAATGCAGGCGGGCGGACAGATTACGAGTCCACTCTGCCCGACACGTGGCAATGCAGCAGGGCGAAACGGCACGAACCTGCCTGTTCTTCCAGACTTGCCCGGCGCGTGGCAACGAAGGGGGGGAGACAGCACATTGTCCCATTGCCTTCGTCACGTGGCGCCGCACCAGGGGAGGGCAATCCAGGAGAGGCGACCGCAAGGAGGAGGAGGAGGGTGGGAGCAGGAGGAGGAGGAGGGAGGAGGAGGAGGAGGAGTGTGGGAGGAGGAGTGTGGGAGGAGGAGTGTGGGAGGAGGAGTGTGGGAGGTGGAGTGTGGGAGAAGGAGTGTGGGAGGAGGAGTGTGGGAGGAGGAGGAGGACATTTTTTTTGACATTCGCTTCGGGGCTGAACTAAAGCTCAAGCACGTTCCGCGGACAGCAACTGACCCCCAGTCCAAGCCTGGGGCGTTGCCAGTTCCGAGTCGGCGCCAAGAACCCTACCCCAGGAGGAGGAGAGGAGGAGAAGGACATGCATGAAACACAACTCGCCCGGGTTAAACGCTGCCCACCTTCGAATGGGCCGTTCCCAGGCCAGAACAGAAACAATGCAGAACTTCCCCAGAACGGGGCGGCGCGAGGTTATTCGCGCCTCGCGCTTCGCGGTTCGGCTCCGATTCCTCCCCATCCTCCTCTTCTCCCTTGGGAGGCGGCGCGAGAGCGCGGAGTTGTTCGCACTTCGCGCTTCGCGCTTCGCGCAGCGCGAGAGCGCGAAGTTGGGAGCCCTTGGAAAAAAAAACATGACACAAAAGATAATCGTACAGCCTGGCGAGTCAGCTCTGCAGCCGCGGAGTGAGATTTTGAGCCCTGAAGCCCTCGAGGGAGGGAGGGAGGGATGGAGGGTAGAGGGCTGGCATCGCTCGGACGTGTGCATTTTTTCTCGGCGAGGACCACTGAGGACGATCCTGGACCATCGAGCAGAAAAAAACACGCACGAAACCGAAAAAATGCACGGGAAATGGACGTCCGAGCGACGGCGAGAGGGGGGAGGGCAGGGTGGAGAGCTGGGTCACTCCCAGGGGCGCGAAGGTAATCGCGCTTCGCGCGGCGCGGCTTGGCCGGGAGAGGCGCCCCTCTCCAGGGCGGCGGCGCGCGGGTGCGAAAATCACCGCGCGCCCCGCATCACGGGGCACCACGAGAGCAGCCAGGTGACCTGGGAGAGGGAGGAAGCGATGCGAGGGAGGGGGATATGACATGTTGGAGGAGGTATGGGACAGGAAAGGAGGTGAGGGGCTGGATGGATTTATGGATCGAGGGAGGAATTGCGGGAGAGGGAAGGAGGGGAGTGCGGAGGGAGGCAAGGAACTCGGTGGCCGAGTGCCCCCGAGCCGCTGTGGAAAGGCTGTCCCTCCCTCCGTCGTCCTCCTCCTCCTCTTTCTCTTCCTCCTCCTCCTCCTCCTCAGCCTCGCTCCTCCTGCTCCTCCTCCTCTTCTTCCTTGCTCCTCCTCCTTGCTCCTCCTCCTCCTCCTCCTCCTCCTCCTCCTCCTCCTCATCATCATCATCATCATCATCATCATCATGCCGGGCGTGGTCTTACAAGCCCGGCTGCTCGATGGATTTTGCGTTGCCTCCGCTTCCGCTTCCAGATGCGTGACCCGGCTTGCAGCCTCGTCGCCGTCGTCCTCGTCGTCGTCCTCGGCGTCGCCCGCGGCTTCGTCTGCGTCGCCGTCGGCGTCGGCGGACGCAGCGGCCGCGGCGGCCAGTGGCCCGGTGGCGGCGGCGGCGGTCGCGCCGCCCGCGCCGGCCGACGGCCCGCCGCCGCCGCCGGCGGCGGCCGACGACGAGGGCGGGCCTGCCGAGGGCGTGGCTTGGCTTAGGCAGCCGTTCCTGAGGCTGCGCCGCGCCATCGAGATCGTGCACGCGGCAACGTGCCCCAACCAGCTGCCTACGGCAAGTCCGCCACCGCGCCTGGGTTGTGAGTTCGTGGGGCCGTCTTGGGGCGTTCGTGGGCCGTCTTGGGGCCTTCTTGGGGGGCCTCTTGGGCCGTCTTGGGGCGATTTGGGAGGCCTCTTGGGTCGTTTTGGAGCGTCGGGAAGCCGAAAAAGCGAGTATGCCCAAATCCTTCAAAAACGTAAGGAAATCAATGGATTTTGCTTCCTGGGGACTTCTTGGCAGGGCTATTGGAGGCCTCCTGGGGCGTCTTGGAGGCCTTCTGGGCCGTCTGGAGGCCATCTTGGTCCGTTTTGGAGGCATCCTGGGTTATTTTGGTGGCCTGGGTGGGCGTCCTGGGCCGTCGTGGAAGCCCTGGAGAGCCCCAAGGAGGCGCCATGGCCGCCCAGGCACCCCCCGCGAGCAGGGGTGGTGCAGTCGGCTATCTGCGCCCTGGTGGGTGGGGGGGGCCCTTGGAGGACTGCAGAAGCCCTGCCAGACAGCCCTTGGCCTTCTTCCACGCCTCAGCGCGCGGGCGCGGTGGCGGATCTGCGAGGGCAAGTTGCGCG